TCAAATCATAATACACAAATAAAAGCATTTACTAAAGTCTTTGCGAATCTTACACAGATTCAACATCTGTGGGGCATTTTGGATCGCCGTTGGACTGTATATACAGTGTTATAAAAAAGTATTTTTCATGTTTATTTATAAATGGTTTCAGATTTTTATACAAAATGTAATCTTGTAAAAACAAGGAGAATATAAGGAAAAATAAAAATACGTTTTTTAAATAATCCCCATATTTATTGAAGGGAAAATGTTTTGCAACGCCCCCATCACCTAACTGGGCCACTCTGCAACCTTATTTTTGTTAATTTTGTTTTAAGCCGTTCAGTGGTGGACTTGCTCTTGTGCTTTGAATCATCATCTGTCTGTAGAGCTTCAGATTGCAGAATGATGGCCAGACATTGTTCTGAAGGATTTTCTGGTATTGAGCAGAATTCATGGTCCTGTCAGTTATGGAACATCGCTCCAGGCTGAAGAAGCAAAGCATTCCCGCACCATCATACTACCATCATCACGTTGGACTTGTTCTTTTTGTGAAATGTTATGTCAGCTTTATGCCAGATGTAACAGGAACCCTGTCTTCCAAAAAGTTTCACCTGCCCACAGAATATAATTCCAAAAGGCTCGGGGCTCATCAAGGTGTTTTTGGATACCACTTTTGCTCAGTCTCTTTATAATGGTGGAATCCTGAACGCTGACCTTATCTGAGGTGAGAGAGGCCTGCACTTCCTTCAGTGTCATCTGGTCTCTTTTGTGGCTTCCTGGATGAGTCTTCCCTGTGCTCTTGGAGGAATTTTGGTAGGCCGGCTACATCTGGGAAGATTCACCACTGTTCCTAGTTTCCTACATTTGGAGATAATGGCTCTTACTGTGGTTTCCTGAAGTCCCAGTTCCAAACAAATGGCTATGTGACCCTTTCTAGACGAGATGTGTTTCAGTAACTTGTACATATTGTCCAAAATTTCTTTTATTTGTGCATCAAAGCGATAGTTGTTGAGACTTTTTGGGCTAATTCATACTGCTGTAAATGTTTTATTTAAGTAATATTTGATTTTGTAGGGCTCGCAGTAATGAGGCTTGGGTGTATCTTTTTTAACTGATCCTATCTGTCAACTAAATTTGGTTAATTGTTTGATTCCGTAACCATGTGGGCAATTATTTTTTTTCAGCCGGTGAGCATTGGATCATTTGTGAACTGTATTTTATGCTTACTCAGGTTATCTTTGTCTTACATTAAATTATGTTTGAAGATCTGAAACAATTAGGTGCGACAAATATGCAAAAATAGAAGAAAGCAGAAGAAATTGGATTATTTTCCTTGGTTTGATTTTAATTTAGACGTTGGAAGAGATTAAACCAAGCTTTGTCAGCTCATTTGTTGACTTCCCTTTCTGGTATGCCTCTCATGATGTGTTTTCACACTGTTGACTTTAGTGAGTTGAGGATGAATGGTGTTCATGTGTGTTATTAGCAGGATATGAGGGCAATAATCTGTCGAGCTTCATTTCATTAAGCACAGGATCTCCTGTGATTTTACCTTCTTTCCAGTTGCATTTATCGAGGTACTGTAGGTACGTGAGAGATGGACGTCACGTCTTGACATTTTTTTCCCCCTGTGCATCAACAGCTCCATTATCTGACAAAGCTGTATAATTACATACCTGTTCAATGATCATAGGGAGCTGTGACTTCCTCCCTACTTTCACTCCATACACTGTTCTTGTCTGGTGTTTGAGTGAACACTGATATTAGCCAAGAGAGGCCTGCAGATCTCTGTATGTTTCCCTGGAGTTGTTTGGGATCTCACAGCATATTTGTGAAGTCAAAACCCCTTTAGACGTTGTACTGCAGCCTGTTCCAGTCTAATGAGCATTGACAGTTTTTTCTTCTGAAATCTCCTTTGACTGTGTCTTGGATAGTGGATCACCCACACTCATGCCTTACTGTCATCCAGTTGATTGAACCACCTGATAATTACCCCCTTCTACCAAACAAGTAATTGTAGAGTTTCAAAAATGCATTTCAGTAAATAAATGAAAAACTATGTAATTGTTTGTGTTCTCTGTATGTATTGTTGTGAATTAGATGAAGCAGGGCTGCAACAAATGATTAATTTGGTAGTCGAATAATTTATCGATTACTGAAACGAATTATCAATTACTCGGATGATGAATCGCTCAGTTACCAAATAACTCTAATGTAGCTATTAGCATTTAAATTTAGCTTGAGGTTGATTTATGCATTTGCTAACTAACGATTAAGACAAAGATGAATAACTTGTTAAAAAATTCACTGTTTTAATGAACTTCCCTGCTAATACAAAAAAAATGAAACCTAGCAAATGTGCAGAGTAGCAGCAATAAAATATAACAAAACTAAGTCAGTTTTCCCATAATCAAAACCATCCTAATTTAAATTTAAACAGTGCAGTCTGTGCTTTGGCCCTTCGTCCAGCTGCCCTGTATGTTCGCATAGAGCTACCTCCTGAAACTGTTTGTGAGTGTTTGCAAACGTTCTCCTATGTTCGCTGAATGCACTGGTGGCCGTGATATTATGACAACGATGCGGTGTTTAAATCTGTAAAAATGATTAGGAATGTGAACAGGGTTGTTGTGAATAATAGTTACTTCTCCATTCCAACCTCATTAATGATTCAAGAGAGCATGCATTTCAAAATAGAAAACGTTACCGCTCATAGCTCACTAGGGTGGCACGGTGGCGCAGTGGGTAGCGCTGTCGCCTCACAGCAAGAATGGCCTGGGTTCGATTCCCGGCCGGGCGACCAGGGTCGTTTCTGTGTGGAGTTTGCCTGTTCTCCCCGTGTCTGCGTGGGTTTCCTCCGGGTACTCCGGTTTCCTCCCACAGTCCAAAAACGTGGTCAGGCCAATTGGACATGCTGAATTGCCCCTAGGTGTGAGTGAGTTTGTGAATGTGTATGTCTGTATGTCTGCCCTGCGATGGACTGGCGACCTGTCCAGGGTGTAACCAATGACAGCTGGGATAGGCTCCAGCACCCCACCGCGACCCAGAAGGATAAGCGGTTTAGATGATGGATGGATGGATAACAAGCTCACTAGCACAACTATTTTACCTAGATGAATCTTCTTCATCCCTTGATCCGACATGTTTCCTAACACAACTGGCAACCACTTTTTCCGAGTTAAGCGTAAAACGCTCCCACACTTTTGAGGATTTTTTCTTGAGGCTGGCATCGTCCTGTTGCGGTAATGTCAAAACATTCCAAGTTAAATAATCGTTGCACCCTTAGGATGAAGAAGTGAACACATTTTAGGTCAGATTTATTCTAAAGGGTTCACAAACTTTCCTGCACAGCTGTAAACTTCTCATAGTGACTATGATGTGGGTTTTTGCAAAGTAGGTCACTCAGAACATTGATTAATAAGGGCAGCATCTCTAGTAAAGGAACTGTTCCTGATATAGTATTTAGTTCTGCTTCTTGGAATTTGGAGGCCAAATGGCATCCAATCACCTGCCCTTTAGATTTGACCACCTATTATAATCTGACCTTGAAATATGCAGACAGGCATCCGAAACAGTCCGTGAATGAGAACACGAGGATAAAATTGCACTAACGAGGGTTTTGTGACCTTGAGTTTCTTTGGATGGCGGAGGAAGAACAGTCTTTTCTGAGCTTTTACAGTGATGTCAGTGATGTCCTGGTCCCATTTGAGCTTGTTAGTGATGGTGGTGCCCAAACACATTAAGGGGTCAACCACAGACCCTGCTTTATTAGCTCTTTCTAAAAAGCAGGGGGAGTGATGTGGGGGCAGCTGCAGAAGTTCATGAATATTGAACTGTTTTTGCAGTGTTTCGTCCAAGGATGTAAACCACAGGGAAGTTCACCACAACATTTCTCAAGTCACGAACTATATTATTAAAAATGAGAAGAATTTGTTGTAGCAGCTCACGAAAACAGACCATTGGGGCTGTAGTGTATACTGTTACAGGACCACTCAGTGAACCAGCTCACGGCAGTTGCTGAGACTTACTGACTAAAGCCTGGGTTACTTTACACGACTGTTACCCTGATTTTAGCCCCGGTTCTCAGTCTGGCTGAGTCTGTGCTAGTTTGTCTGCAGACTTTTGGGTCAGTCGAGTTGGCAGTTGGAGAGACAGTGAAGTACTGTGTGAGGAGCGCAGATTCAGATTTTTGGTTTTCCGGTTGTGTTTCAGACCAGTCAACATGTTTGATTTTTTTCGGCCCGACTCTGAGCGTATTCTATAACACTGTCTGAACAGACTCCTGCAACAGCCAATGAAAACTGAGCAAGAATGAAGAAAATTCAGCGTCAATATCAGTCATTCGAATAAAACAGATTTTGACCACTACTGTCCTGTATGATTGTACTGTTCAAATAAGGTGACTTAATTTACTACTGATAGTATTCTGATGACGTCACAATCGCACTGCCACCGTTTTGGCAGGCAAAAGTTCATTCAGCGGTTCTGTGGCTGTTTCCAACGCGATAACAAAGCCATAACTGATCCAGCACAGGCAGTAAAACATGTAAAACATTTTTTATCACTTTTTAAAATGATTTTAAAGTGTATTAAGTGATATATTTGAGCGTATTGCCTTGATTTTATTTGATTTGTTGCTGTAGTAATAACAAAAGAAAGCTGAAATCTGAACTGCTGAGACTTCCTGCTGCGTTACTAGCGCTCCGTCACCTTGTTGAATTTAGCCACAAAGACTTCAAGCTGTCTAAAGAGCAGACTCACTATTAGAATGTTGTTCCTAATAAAGTAGTTGATGAGTCTGTACGGCTCTGAGTGAAACATGGTTATGGGGAGCGTCTCCAAGCGTTTTGCGCGAAAAAAGCAAAACTTTTGAAGTGGTGAACCTTAATGGGAGTATTTATGTATAATAATACTATAAAACTGAATTCTCGACCGACCCAGACCTGTCGCTCCTTGAAAGTCAAAGACCTTAATTATTTTTCCACAGATTTGAGTCTTTCTTTATGTTTTTTACCCTTTAGGTGCTGGTTCTCAGTCAGGACGAGGAGGCAGAGGACAGAAAGCTTCATCAAGTCCTGTTAAAACCAAGTCTATAATGGATGGTGAGTAACACACGTGTGATTTGACCAGTGGATGTGAAAAACAAAAATAATTACGAATAGAAGTGTAAAAATGCATCAGTGCCTGGAGAGACACTGATCTAAAGGTGACTTTTCAACTGCATTGATTTTGGAATGTTAGAATGGATTATATGGATTATAATGGTTAATAGCTGGACACCTAATGCTACGTTCATCTGCCTTTTTAAGTCACTCTGTTGTGTAGCAGACATCTTATTCAAGTCACTCTGGATTATATTTTATGCTAAACAACACAATGTAAACATTGGAAGTAAATTGGCCTGTGTGCTCTGTATTCCACTCTAGTCGCTTTGGGCGTTTAGTATGATTTTAGAAATGAGTTACACCGAAGTAGCTGCCTTAAATCGATGTTTCCTAATGCACATTCATTTGCTAAAGTCTCTTGTTTTGTTACAGTCTTTCATGGATACCACTGACTCAGCCAAAGCATCTCTCAAAGAAAAATTGGTGGGAGGAAGGGGCGGGGCTTCAAGAAAGTTGCCCTCACCCTGCCCCTCACCCAATAAAAAAACAAACATAATTTTATACTATATATAATGGCATTTTGACGTATTTCAGTAACAAATTCAACCTTGAAATGCGATTGGCTGAGAGACATTCTCACGATAATGACACACATCTCTTTCCATGTCACTCTGCTTTAGTAGCCTGTAACATAGCAGCGAATACCATCATATTAAATAGTATTAATAGTATTAACCATATTAAAAAGTAACAGCCACAACTTTATTGTAAGTAACAAGTCTGCAAAAAAATTAGTTTTAATTAGTTAGTACAATGTTTTTAATCTGCTGTTTTTTTATGTTGCTTCAAAATATGTTACATAAAAAATGTGTAGCTAGTTCTCTCAAGCTATTAGCTGATAGCTTTGCAGCTTGTTTACATTTGTCTTGAGAAGAAGATGGACATTTCCTATATAGCCATCCTGAAGGTTTTGTGTTGTGACAGTTTACTTAGTAGCCTTGCAGCAGCCCCAGATCAGAGCTGTTTTTCCTTGCGGAGTGTAAATAAAGTCATTTTTTGGGTCATAATTGTCCCAAAAGATGCAAAAATTGAATAATTTTTATAATCAATGCTGATCTTCTTGGTCTTCAGCCTCATGCCTATGACCACAGCACACCGGTGCCAGTATCTCATGGTATAGCACTTCATCTCGTGTACTATTACATAAATATAATAAAATGTTTAGGGGTGTAACGATTGATCAAAGTTTCATTTTTAGTGTATCATTCAACATTATAAAAGCACATTTAAAAGAAAAGCTGTAGTTCATAGTGTCCCAAGCTAACACATTAACGCTACGCTAACATGCTATTCACTATACGGTAATATTATCTGATACAATACAGTCTGATGCGATGCAGTAAAATATTACTGTTATTGATGCATACCTAGTAATTTTATAAAGTACATTTTTAAAAACGGCATTTCTGCATTTCTCTACATTCATTTTTAATTAGGTGCTGTGATTCATAATTCGATTATAATCATGGCTGTGTAGAAAGACATTTCTAACACATAAACTATCGAAAATCAAATCTTGACCTCAGAACTGAAAATCACGTCAAACTTGAGAATTTCAGCATCATGCCAGTCCTTCTAATAACAAACTATTGATATGAATATTGCGTAAACATTCTGTAACATACGGAAAAGGAAATTTCAGCCTGAAATGGGGACAGATTTCCTGACGCTGTCCAGTGACAGAAGGTCGAATGTCTCAGGCGGAAGCGTAATGTGAAAAATTCTGCTGTTTATGAACTGAAGAAATGTGTTAATATGACGGAATGAAAGCTAAGACCAACTGTGACAATCACGATCCTATAAATTCTGAATAAATTTACATATTGTACAATTTACATACATTCACAAATTGCATGCCATATGTGCTTTCAGACTGGTAACGAACGCGAACTCAGTTCATGTTTATTTAGCAGTGTTTTAGCAGCCAGGCTCTCTGTGATAACTGATTTAAGAGATGACTATTTAAGGCTTTTGTTAAAAGTGTAAAATGCTTTTTAAATCTGTATTTGAAATTTGTGCTCTTGTGTGTGTCGGAGTGGCGAGTCTTCTCTGTCGGTTTGCATTTGATTTCCTGTTTGTTGGACTGTTTGTGTGTCGTAGCATTAGGAGTATTAATTCAACCCCACATCACCCCCTCCTGAGACTCTGTATGGACATATGTCTCTCTCTCTCTCTCTCTCTCTCTCTCTCTCTCTCTCTCTCTCTCTCTCCCCGTTTCTCTCTGTACCTCTTTCACTCTCTCTCTCGCCACTTTTCTTTCTCTCTCTCTGTTTCTCTCTCTTACTCTTATCCCTCTCTCCCTCTCTCCCCATCTGTCTCTCTTCCCTCTCTTTCTCTATCTCTCTACATTTCTTTTCTTTTTTTTGTCACTGTTCTTGTTTTTTTTTCCCTTCTGTCTCTGTTCTCCTCTCTCTCCCCTCTCTCTGTCTCATCACCTTTCTTCTCGCTGTCTCCCTCTCTCTTTTTCTCACCTGCGCTCTCTCTCCACCTCCGCCTTCTCTGCCCGCCTCTCTTTGTGCAAAAAATTAGAATATCACTAAAGCGGAAATGTGAAAAAGGGTGACATGTCAAGTCGGTGACTGAAACCGATTGGCCCTTCAGATGGTCCTTAAATGATGCTCAGCTTTTTGAAGGTTACTTCAGCCCTCTTTAGTTGGGCCATGGCTCATCCAGTCCAGCGTCTCTGAGCTGCAGACAACGCAGCCATAAAAGAAGGCAAACAGCTGTCTTAAATCTCGCGGTCTAGCTTGTTTCGATGCCCCTAATCATGGTAGCCAACTTCATCTAAAGTTTTTTTCACATAACTGTAGTGGATGGAAACACAATTCACATTTTTTCTGCTGAAATTTCAGAAATGCTTATAACACTTCTGAAATGTTCGAATGAAAACCTGATTTGTCTCTCTCTCTCTCTCTCTGTGAATCTCTTTCTGTGTGTCTCTTTCTCTGGGTTCTTTGTTTCTCAGTGTTATTGGCCTGTACACTCGTTCATTGTGTGTTGGCACTGTCCCTCGTTCACAGCAGCTCTACTCGTCCGTTTGTTTTTCTGTTTTAATCTGAGCTCCTCGTGTGTGTTGAGGCCTGAACACACACATCACTGAATATGCTGACAAATCAAAGAGTCAGTTTGTGTTCAAGAGTCTCTGGGAGGTTCACTCAGAGTGGAGCTTTATGGATTATTTGTTTGTTTGGGTTTTTTAAATTTATTTTGCTGTTCATGCTTTCATTTTCTTCTCCACAGCCTTCCAGGCTCCGGCCCCAAGGGCGTCCCGCGGCACCACCAAAAAATCTGTGGAGGTACGCACACACACACGCGCGCACACACACACACACACACACACACACACACACACACACACACACACAACATGTTAAACAAAACCTTGCATCTCAATTTTTCTCGCTTTGCAGTTTTTGACATAATTTGAAAATGTCTGTTGTTCTTTACATTGTATATAAATTTCATGATGAATGAACAGAAACGGCCCAGAATGACTTGTTAAAACGTCTGGTTCTGTTGACTTACATTAAAAGTAAACTATTTTTTTCTTCTCCTGTAAAGTTCTCATTTTGGAGATACGAGGTTTTGTTCTGACAGCAGTGAAATATTTGAAGTGAAATAAGACATAAACTAATCAAATAATTCTTTGCTTTACGTGTTGAAACTTTCTAGTTGTTTAAAACCTGCATGAAGTTAAATTTGAGTGGCATAATGTAAAACATCCTGGAACTCACTTGAATCTCAGCCACAACAACAAGCCTCAACTTGGAACAGTTTTCATTAAACAGCCAATCAAAAGGGCAATTATGCATCACGTGATCATGTCGATTGACATACTTTCAAAATATTGATTTTACCAAATCAGTGGGCAAGGAAATAAAACAGAAGATGATTTACAGTGGCTGAAGAAGAGTTTCTCAAAGCTACTGTTTCTCTATCCAGCAGTGCTGACTAGCAGGTTGATGGTAACATCAGTTCAAACAGCTGCTTTTATTCCTTTTTTAGCATTCTGTTATCTTGAAATATGTGAACTCAGCGTAAAGCATCAAACATTGCACGCCGAAATGAAGCATTCATAGATCATACAATCATCTAAAATTTTATAAACATTTGAAAGCAATTTCAAAATGTGAAATATTGCAAATGTTATATTTTTAGCATTGTATGTATACCATTAATATTTCATCTCTGTTTATTCTGTAAGCAGTTAAACTCAATATATAAGGTGTGATTTAGAACATAATCGGAAAGTGTTTGCTTGAATTTGCCTGTGGTGTACCATGAGGGTCTGTCTTTGGGCCACTCCTTTTTGTGAACAGTGAACATGCAGTCAACTTCCATATGCAGATATTTGAACATTTAAATGTTTGTAAGGTGATATATATATATATATAGTAACACTTTCTATGAATGTCACCTTTGTAAGCATCTATATTTATAACATGTTATAAAGTATTCATAAGGCATTATAAACATGGTTATAAATATTTATAAAAAAGAATTACACTGAATTACACTTTATAGCCATGTTTATTATACATTATGAATTGTTAATATAATGCATTTTAAATAATGTTAATAACATGTTATAATGTCAGTGCCAAAGAAGTCAGTCCCAGCTTGGAGAGCGTAAAGACAAATACCAAGCTAACGGTGGTGAACATTACCTTTCCCACATTGGGTAAAACACTGATGGCAGCTCTAGTTTAAACTCTGACATTTGAAGCCTGTAATGTGCTTTACTGTGAATGTTTTAGTGTTTCAGTAAATCCTTCAGTAAATCCTTCAACTTGAAGTCTCACTCTGAACACTGGAGGAGGCTTTAGTACAGTACGCTTCACTTTACTTAGAGCGGACAAATACAACTTGTGAGCTCTTATAATTTATGATCAGTACTTATAATGTATTATGTTAACTATTTATAATGCATAATAAACATGGCTATAATGTATAATGCATTTTTATAAATATTTATAGCTATGTTTATAATGTCTTATGAATGCATTATAACATGTTATGAATGTGTTTGTAGATGCTTACAAAGGTGACATTCATAGAAAGTGTTACCATTGGTAACATTTTATATGAAGAGTCCTCTTTAGATGCTATGTAGATACTCCTAACCCTAGACATTCAAGTAGATAATCTGACGGGGACTGTAGTGGACTATCCAAATAAAGCGAGACCGTATAAGGTAACACTTTATATTATTATTAGCTTTTTCATAGAAATACATGGTGTCTGTATGCAGACCCTAGATAAGTTTGCGTTGGAATCCAGTACTCTTTCCACCCCTGCATGTGCGCAAACACACCCAAAAGCATTTCCAATGATGGGCAAACACAAAATGTAGCAAGCTGTGTTTTGGTTCCGAACATTGGTTCATTATTATTCACTGCATGTGTGAAATCTTTTTCCCAGATATGAAATGTTCCCTAGTGCTAGTGCTAATGCTGACGCTGCTGCTGAATCGCTAGACCAAAACCAGTGAGGGACGTGCTCCAGTAACAAGGTTGTCGGGCCGCATTACTTTCACTTGAGAGACTAAACGCGTGTCCATAGAAGACTGTCTAGTAGCCACATCAGTGCCTCAGCACAAAAGAGAGTCTTTAGTTGGGAGACTCTGGTTGGAGAGCTTTCCTGGTTAGAGTATTCTGTCAAAGAAGATCTGGATCTGTTTTTCATGCAGGAGCGTTCTGTCCCTAGCATTAATAAGCAAACAGGTGCGGCTGTGCCCCCCTAATTTAGAGCGTGTCCCAGTACAACCAGCAGTGTGCAAACACACCTGCTCACAGCCATAATAGTTGCAAGCTTTTACATAAAAGTGGGCCTTTTAAGGAGCCACTTACCAGTTCAAACAGGAAAATATGTGCATTCACAATTCACGCAGCGTCCTTCATTAAAGCAGTAGTTTAGAGAAAAATAGAGTTCACAAAAAACCTCTTACAGCAGACGTAGTGACTCAGCCAGGACGTTCAGAGTCTGAAGTTTACTTCTTTAGTTTTGAACTGAAGTAATAATAAAACAGTAGAAGTTATGATGACCACTTAGCATTGTGCAAACTGCATGTCTGAATCATCACACACTGGAGTTCTCTCAAATATACTTGGTGGTTTCTGACACTCTGTAAAGGTTCCTGAGGATGCTTAAAAAGTCTTATAAAGTTTTGAAATAGATACTTAAGGTCATAAAATATCTGAAAATTTTTATCTTTTAGAGGTATTAAATTTAGGGGTGTCCAGGCATATTTTAATGAATCAGGCTTCAGCTAAAATAAGCCCGATCCAGTCCTGATCCTTTGTTTTTGTGCTGTTTTTACTGCACTATCACAGAGGAGCCGTAAATGAAGCCTTAGTCACAACCTGCGGCGGTTGTGCACGTTTTCAGGAGGTAACAAAGCAGTCTAAATGATAGTTTGAAGGTGCTTTAAGGTGGAAAATGCTGAGTTGTAATATCTACGGTGTTCATGTTTCCAGTTGCTGTTGCTTTTTGTGAGTTATCTACCATCGAAACCATGTAGAAAATATGCTTTATAGACATTTTTCTTTTGTGAATGGCTGAAAACAAAATGATGACAGGAATGTGCAGCTTTACACGCCGCACTGCTTCTGGATTTAAACCAGCGTTAGCAGAAACAGCGTTAAACCTGGCAGAAAGGAGAACACACATTAGAGCAGTATGAGATTCTACTGAATTCATGTCACAATGGTTATTTCACATTGATAGTTCACAAAAAGAATAGGTCACAGAGGTGGCTGATACGGTAAAAATATGATATCATGATACTTAAAGAAATTTTCACGATACAATTTATGTCACAGTATTTATTTGTTCAGACATCTGATCAGTTGGAACAGAGGAAAAAAAAAAAAAAAATCTAAAACTGGAAACACGATTTTTATTCAGTATTTGACACTAAATCCAGTTAAACAGGACTAATTTTGCCAATGTTCTACAAGTACTAATGATATACGCATGTTCACAAAAGCATATTGCATTGACCTAATTTATCATAATAATGATATATATTGTCATATTGCCCAGACCTAATAGATCAGTAGTATCATTTCGGAGTGCACATACCAAAGATTTGACCGCAGAACATTAACTGGATCATAAAGAAATACTAAAGAGCTTATAAACTGTCATTTTGAACAAGTAAGACAAATATCAGAACTTCAGTTCAACCAGGACATTTAATCGATTTCAGTCTCCCAACCTAAACTTCATAGCCAACAGCAGTGCTGTGACTTTTATAGATACTTTTCTCCCTTTTTATGATTTAGTAATGCAGTGTGCACAAGACTAAAATGTGTACACAAGCTTCTATTACTTGCTAGCTAAATGCAAAACGAACTCAGTTTCTAGACTTTTTCTAGGTGTCTTCAGCCAGTCAGGTTGAGCAGAAGGGTTCAGACAGAACCAGCGTGTCCTGGGGCAGAGAAGTGGACATTAGAGAGTTTGTGTTATTAAACTGTAGCCAATTTTTTTTCTCTCTGTGTATAAATCTTTTTTAAATCATTATTTAATTGTATTAGCACAGATGATATTCCCCAAACTGTTCTGCTTCAAAACCAAGTAATAATTTTAAATTTAATTTAGTTTATTTGGGATCGAATTGGACTGAAGACTACTGAGCAATCTCACAGGAACCTCCCAGGTGTCAGGGTGTATTTGGCACTAACCTTTAGCCTTCGGCTGCTTTCAGACAGCAGAGCGTATTCCACCCAAAGCGCCATTATATCCAATGGCAGGACGTAGACAGGACAGGGTTCAGCTCGAAATCAAAATCGAAATGATTTATAGGATACAACTGTGCCGATTTAGATTAAGGATTAACGGAGACGCACAAATGCTTTGTGCTTGTTGAGTATGAGGTACCACAGAAAAAAAACTAAATTAAACAAAATCTCTGATCTCGTTATTCAGTTTGTAAAATACGCTATATGACACCTGACCATCAAACCCGTATGACCTTGCTAAACATTCCGTTCCAAAACCATGGGCATTAAAATAGAGCTGGACTTTTCTCTGTGGCTGTAAAAGCCCCCAGCTATCTGGGATGTATTGCCACTTCAAGAATTCAAGGTGTGTATGTGAGATTTATTGCCCATTCAGTCAAAAGAACATTTGTGAAGTCAGGCACGGATGCTGGATGAGAAGGTCTGGCTCACAGTGGACGTTCCAGTTCATACTAACGGTAGTCAGTAGGACTGAGTTCAGGGCTCTGTGAAGACCACTGGAGTTTCTCCAGACCACACTGGTCAAACCTTGTCTTTATGGAGCTCGATTTGTG